CCGGCGCGCCTTTGTTCCTGCGGCGGCATCGGCAGCGGCAGGGCCGGGCGAGGCTGGCTAGGCGCTGCGCCGCAGGCCGGGCGGGGCGGCGGGCGGGAGGAACCCCGCAACCCCACCGATCCTGAGACAGTGAGATGCCTGATGGGGAAGCAGCCCCTCCTGCAGCGGGGTCAGTCTCGGGGCCGTGCATTGCGCGTGCACGGCCTGGCGCTTACTGTTGCTGCGGCGGTGGCGGGCGAGGAGGGTTAGGCCGGGCCCACTGTGGCCAGTTCCAGTAACCAACCCTGGTCTGCAGACGGGCTCCTATCCCTCAAAAGCTCTGCCTGCGCTAATTCACTGCCACCCCTCGGGGTCGTGGCAGGGCCCTCCTGGGGATTTCAAACCAGGGCAGAGCCGGGAAGTATATGATCAGAGAGGGCGACTTATTACTGTAAGTCGGGCATGGAAGTTGAGAGCCAAAGAGGGGAGGGGAAAGCGTTGTGGGGAAAGCGTTGTGGGCAAAGGGCTGTAAAGAGCTACCAGCCGGAACAGGGCCGGAACTTGTAGGCTTTGTAGGATATTGCATTTTATTCTAAGAACAGTGGCAAGCCCTGAGGAGTTAAAAACTCGTTAACTTAAAATTTTAAGATTTGTATTTCAAAAAAAGCTCGGTTGTAGTGAGTGAAGTGGGAGGAGCCAGAGCGAAGACGAGTTGTGTGCGGGTGGGGCAGGCAAGGTGGCAGCACGGGTGGAGAGGGATTCAGGACATGTTTCGGAGACGGTGTGGGGCACGGAGGGCTGCGAGGCCGTGGTGGGAGGGAGGAAAGAAGTGTTGGGGATGACTGCTGTGTGTCTGGCATGAGGAACTCGGAGGCCGTTTGTCAAAATGGAGAATGGAGGAGGAGCAGGCAAGGTTTGAGATGCTTGAGGGATGTGCAGGAGGGACACTTGCAATCCTGAGGCCGAGCTTGGAGAGGGGCTGAGCTAGGCATTTGAGAGTCGTGGATGTCAGGATGGCATTCCACACTCTCTACCTGGGTTTCATCAAGGTATTTGGACACGGGAGTGAGGTATGAGCTTGTGAAGAGAGTTCCGGACCCTGGGTGGGCTGGCACAGTCTGGGGGCCATGTGCAGGGGGTGCTGGGGGACCTACCGGTGTGTCATATGTCTTTCTCTGCTCAGACCTTGTGCCTTCTTCCAGATCCTGCCCACCATGGCCAGGCGCCCACGGAGCAGCAGAGCGTGGCATTTTGTCCTGAGTGCAGCTCGCCGAGATGCGGATGCCCGGGCCGTGGCTCTGGCAGGGTCCACCAACTGGGGCTACGACTCTGATGGGCAGGTAGGTTCCAGTGGGTGAGGTGGGCATGGCTGGACTAAATATTGCCTGAACTGAGACTGAAAGAGAAAGATGCCTCTGAGGGCAGAAAACAGGGCCAGGCTTGGCGAACCGTCCCCTGCGTGCACTCTGCTTCTGCTCCCCCAGGCTCTTCACACTGGTTAAGGACACACGTGGCCCTGGGTAGCAGGACCTCAAGGCATATACTATGTTCCTCTGTAGACTTTTTTCTTTGAAGAGGGTGTCAGTGGGTACTTTGGTCAGTTCATTTAACGAAAACTTCTCCATTTCATTTACCCAACCGCTTTTCGAGGGTAGCTGTTGTTACCTCTGTGTGCAACCTTCTGGACGTTTTCTCTGCCTGTTGAAGTCTGTACTCAACGTTTGTGTATATGCATCTAAAAATAAGAATTTTGATCTTTAAAGACCAACATTCCTGAGCCCTCCTGTGCTCAGGACCCTGAGCTCTGCAAGGCCCAGGAATACAGAGGCCGTGAGGAGGGCGGCTCAGCTGTCTGTCTGCAGTACAGGTTCCTGATGGACCTGAGAGGTTTGCAACCAGAGCCTCACCACGCTGACTTCCACCACAGGGGTGGGGTGGCGGGGCTGTGTGGCCTCTGTGCCTGCCGTGGGGGGCATGTGGGGAGGGCTTCACAAGTCAGTTTCCTGAACCTCTCAGACCAGAGCTGGTCTTTGGCTCTGCCCTGAGTCACCTCTGTTGTTTTCAGGGTGATCTTTGGGTGACTTGGTTCTGCTGTCACAGCCCCCCTGCCTGAGTGCCCTGGCTCAGCCAGGTGTCTGCATGGGGACAGGTGCCTATCCTCCCCAGCCCTCAGTGAGGGCAGCTGAGTCCCGTGGAAGCACCAGGGCTTGGGGCAGAATCGGAGGCGACATCCTGGGTCCCCTTCCTGGGGCCTCCCTTAGCTCCCTGCCTGGGCCAGCGAGAGGCCTCGGCCTGCATTCCTGTCCCGCCTCCAGCTTCCACTGACCACGTGGCCTGGAGCAGTCTTTTCTCCTGTCTGTCTCTGCCTCTCTGGCTCATGGCTGTGGGATGTGGGAGGCATCCAGGGGCTGGGGGTGCGGTGTCTGATACACACCTGTGGCTCATCCGGTCACCTAATGGGCCCAGAGTACTTGTGTGCACGTGTGGATGGAGAGAGCGTGTCACCCCAGCACCTTTGAAGGCTGAACACACGTCCCTGTCTCCGCTGCTCTAAGCTTTCCTTACAGCTTGCGGTGGGGCCGGGTCTGCCCTCTACACAGGGGGTTGTGTGCTGGGTGCCAAGCAGTGTGACCCCTGAGGCCAGCAGTGCTCAGGTCTGTGCCCCTGGCTCCTGACTCAGTGGGAAGGGATTGTCTCCTCTGGCAGCAGTGGGCCTGCCTTGGCTGGTGGGGGATCGCTCTTCCCTGTGAGCAGGGTGCTTTGGGCCTGCTGCCACTGTCCTTGCTGGCGTCTGTCTCCAACTGGGGCTCAGCCTCCTCGCTCCCTGAGCTGTCTCTGCCATCGGTTCCCAGAGCTCCTGTGTGGCACTTGGGGCTGAGTGTAATAATAAAGGAACTCAGTTCCGGTGGGAGGAGGCAGGTGAGCAGGACCCAGGAGAGCGTCAGGGAAGCCTACAAGAAAGGAAGAGGAGAAGGAAGAGGATGCAGCCTGAGAGGCTGAAAGAGCTTCTTTGAAGTGGTATCCAAAAGCCATCCAGGGACAAACAGACCCCCACTCCTGCCCCATGGGGACAGGGGTGGACAGGGCAGAGGAGGAGGCTGGGCAAGGAGGGGGTCTTATATTCTCTGATGAGAGTAAGTTTGTGGGCTTTGTTCTCAGGGCAGCAGGATTCCCAGGTCTGAATAGGTCACCCAGACCACTGTGCAGAGGGCATTTCCGGGGGGGCCAGAGCAGCACCCAGAGGCCAGGAGAGTGAGGGTGGCGGCCAGAGCCCCACCAGGACCCCAGGCAAAGCTGGGAGGGCTCAGAGAGCAGGCATGCAGAGGCTGCCTGCACCCCTGGGGCCTGAGACTCCAGGCCCTCACTGGTCGGCCAGATGTCAGAGCCTGGGTGGGTGTCTTGAGGGGCCCACGTGGCTCCAGAACAGGAACAAGGTGTACAGAGGCACCCTCGCTGGCCTCCAGGAGGGTCTGTGGGTCAGCTGGTCCCCGGAACCAGACCAGCTCAGCCTTAGCGTCTGGACCCTGGGCCAAGATCAGGCCCTCAAGGCTTGGAGTCCATTCTGTGAGGAATGAGAGCCACACGCAGAGGGCCAAGGCCCAACTGACTGTTTTCCTGCTGCAGCCTGAGACCATGGGGCTTGCTCGTCAGGGTCCTGTGATGGGGGTTGAGAGCACACCCTTGCACAGACAAGGGGGCCACGGCCTGAGACAGGTACGCAGGCCCTGCCATGGCCATTGGCCCCCTGGAACCCAGCTGCTGCCACGGGGAGACCAGGTGCCTTCATTAGGTCAGCAACGGACTTTGCTGTCATGCTCCCGTTTATCACAATCTAGATGTTCTCTGGCCAACGATGACTAAGCATGCAGCCCTGTCTTGGGGCTTATTAGTGGCTAGGCCTCCGGGGCCCTCTACTCCACTCCCAGGAAGCCACCGGCGTGGTAGGCCATTGGCAAGGAGGCCCCCTTGCAGCTCCTGAGCCAGAAGAGGTGTCCAGGGTCACTGTGGCTGGCTGGCTGAGCCCTTGAGACCTGAGGAGGCCCTTTGAGGCCAAAGCCCCAGATCCCTTCCTTGGGGCGTCCAGCCGTTCACCAGTGGGCCTGGGGTGGGTGGCAGAGCAGTTGGGGGAAGGGGTCGGTTGGGCCGGCGGAGGGCAAGAGGCGGGAACAGCTGGTCCTTTCCCCTCAGCACAGCGACTCAGATTCCGACCCCGAGTATGCATCTCTGCCGTCATCCATCCCCAGTGCCGTGCCTGTGACTGGGGAGTCCTTCTGCGACTGTGACAGTCAGAGTGAGGCCTTCTGTGGCAGTCTGCACGCCGCCCACCGGGGCAGGGACTGCCGCTGCGGGGAGGAGGATGAGTGTGAGTGTGGGGGCCTGCGGCGGGTGGGCGGACCTCTGGGCTGGCGGGGAGCCTGCCAAGCCTGGGCCTCTTCTCTCGCAGATTTTGACTGGGTCTGGGATGACCTGAATAAGTCCTCGGCCACCCTGCTGAGCTGTGACAACCGGAAGGTCAACTTCCACATGGAGTACAGCTGTGGCACAGCGGCCATCCGGGGTACCAAGGAGCTGGGGGAGGGCCAGCACTTCTGGGAGATCAAGATGACCTCGCCCGTCTATGGCACTGACATGGTAAGTGGCCGGCAGGGTTGGGGAAGGGGTGCCGGGCACCTTGGTCCCCAGCCCCCTCTGCCAGTTCTGCTGTTTCCAGATGGTGGGCATCGGGACATCGGACGTGGACCTGGACAAGTACCACCACACGTTCTGCAGCCTGCTTGGCCGGGACGAGGACAGCTGGGGCCTCTCCTACACGGGTGCGTGGGGCCCCCAGGGTGGGCGGGGCTGGGGGGCCCCGAGGCTGCAGGGCTCACCCCGACCCTGCTGTCCCCAGGCCTCCTCCACCACAAGGGCGACAAGACGAGCTTCTCCTCCCGGTTCGGCCAGGGCTCCATCATTGGTGTGCACCTGGATACCTGGCATGGGACGCTGACCTTTTTTAAGAACAGGAAGTGCATAGGTGAGGAGGTGACTGACACGTGCCCGCAGAGTGTGGCTGCCACTGAGCTCCTGGTGAGGTTGAGGGCCCTGAAAGGCCATCCTTGCAAGGCCATCCTTGCATCCCTGAGGTCTCAGGGTCCCCAGAACCGGGCAAGGCCGGGGGGTAGGTGGAAATCCCAGCATCCTTCGTCCCCTTAGGAGAGCCTGAGCTTAGGGTTCAGGCTGTGCCACCTCCCCACCCCCAGGAGTGGCAGCCACCAAGCTGCAGAACAAGAGGTTCTACCCGATGGTGTGCTCCACGGCGGCCAAGAGCAGCATGAAGGTGATCCGCTCCTGTGCCAGCATCACCTCCCTGCAGTACCTGTGCTGCTACCGCCTGCGCCAGCTGCGGCCTGACTCTGGGGACACGCTTGAGGGCCTGCCCCTGCCGCCCGGCCTCAAGCAGGTGCTGCACCACAAGCTGGGCTGGGTCCTGAGCATGAGCTGCGGCCACCGCAAGCCCCCCACGCCCTCGCCCATGGCCAATCCCAGCAGCCCCGAGACCCGGCGCTGCCAGAGGAAGCGCTGCCGAAGGACCTAGCTTGTTTCCCAGTGAAAATTGCCTTCTACAGCTGGGATGGCGTTTTCTCTGTTTCTCCCTTTCGACCACCCCCCAGGGCAACAGGAGAGGGAGGACTGAACCAAGGTTTGTCTCGGCTGCCCCCCTGCCACCCGAGGCTGGGAGAGGCCTTGCTACAGGGGCTCTGGGGCCATTATCCCTGTGATCCGGAGACCCGGACTTCCTAGTCTGTCTGCTTCCTGTGCCGGGTGTGGGAGCAGCCACTTTCCTTCTCAGAGTCTCTGGGGGAGCTGCTGCCCCAGCATGTCTGGACTCGGGCTGCAGGCCTGGGAGGCTGGTCTGCTGCCTGTGAGGAGGACGGCTTTGTGAGAGGTCGGCTCTTCCTGCTGTCGCCGCCGGCCTTGGGTTTTTCTTAACTTGCTTTGCATGTTGTCAGCTGCTGTTCCTCTCGTCTTGAGACTGAAAACGACTGTAATAAACTTAGAGTTTATGTCTGATGCTTACATACCTATGGAATGAAAGGGGTTGGACTGACGCCTGGGGCTCACAGGTGTCCACAGCTTTTCTCCTGTTAGGGGGAGGGTCACAACACCCTTGAGGAGTCACGGCCTGGTTCTCTTTTCTCCCTCAAGACCTTGTCTTAATACTTCTCCTTTCTGAAGGTGCCCACCTCCCCCACCCCCGCAGCCTCCAGGTGACCAGCGTTTGCCCTGTGGGGCCCTGAGGTGCTGCCCAGCCCTTCCTGCCTGTCGTAGCTGGCTAGCAGCCCCTCTGCCAGTGTGTACAGGGCCCAGGGCATATGAGCCCTGCCCTTATCTTCTCCAGACCTTCCAGCTGGCTTGGCATCTCCTGGAGAGAAAGAATTTCCTCTTCTGCCCATCCCAGTTATGCAAGAACTTTCTCTGCTGCCCTTCCTGCACCCCCATCTTAGGGTCACACCTGCCTGAGAGCTCCGGTGCAGGTCATACTGGGTTTCTTGCTCCCACACACCACCGCTCGTGGTTTCTAGTCTGTTCCCTGGGCGGGCTGAATTCAGTCCTGCCAGTAGGTGGGAGAAGGGCCCGTCGGGTACCACAGGCGTGGTCAGGAGCCCAGGTCCAGCGGGAGGTCGGGGATGGTGGTCGTCAGGAAGAGGCAGATGCAGCGGGAGAGGTCAGGTCCCAACCTATGGGGCCGCACACCCTTGCCCATCCTCACAGGGAGGTCAGCCAGGAGGGCTAGGCGCCCCTGCTCCATGCCACAGGCCACATACACCTAGGGCGGGCATGGGGATGGGCGGGGCAGGCCTTGGGGGAACTGGCCTCCATATCTGGGAGTCTGGTTGGGGGGCGGGGGGCCCACCTGTTGCAGAAGGCAGGGGGAAGGGAAGGTGGCAACAACAGCATTGGCCACAGCCGAGCTGACGCAGTTGAACTGCCTGATCTGCTGCCACCAGGCTCCCCCGCAGGCCGGTGCCATCTCTTGCCACTCTTCTCGGCTGCTGCCCAGCGCACGGTGGTGCAGAAGGAAAAGGCCCCAGACTCCCGGGACTGCCTGGGAAGGGGAGGATGCAGGGAAGTGCCTAGACTCTACATCACCTCTCCTGAGCGCCCTGCCCCCAGCTCAAAAAAACCCTCAGCCCCCTCTGCTCTAGAGGCCAGAGAGGTGCCACCCGCCCAGCACTCCCATCCCTCCCGCTGCAGCCCCCAGCAGGGTGAGGGTCACACACTTGAAGGGACGCTGGGTGAGGGCCTTGGTGAAGGCACACACATGCTAAGTCAGCTCCTGCCAGGAGGCCACCAATAGCACATCCACGTTTGCCCAGAGCTGCAGGAGCACCAGGGCGTGAGAAAGAGATGAGCCCGTGGGTGTGGGTCAGAGGGTTCCCATGGGGGACACCCAGCTGAGACCAACCCCACGTGCCACCCACGTGCCAAACCAGCCCCTGCTGGGTCTCAGAAAGCAGCCCAAGGGCCAGAGCCTATGCCAACCATCTGGCCCAACCCAACTGTCCTCACCTCCTCCACTTCGGGCCAGCCAACTGCCACCTAGGCACGAGCCACCACTAGACGCTCTGGCTGCCATGTCTCCTGGGTGCTGGACTGGTAAGACCTATGCAGAGGTGACCGTCCCTCTGGCTCCCCACCCTCCATGAGTTCTCCTCCTGCCCCTAGAGCCCACCCAAGAGAGAGGGTTAGCTGTGACACCAGCCCCCAGGGCCACCCCTGCCTTTTGCCCGAACTCTCCCATCCCAGGCAGGCTGGCTAAGGGTGTTAGGGTGATTGGTACCACAGGTAAACATCAGCCCAATGATAGCCAAGTGGAGGCAGGCAGGGCTCTCAGGACTGATCCAGGGCACAAAACAGGTTGGGCCACATGTCTGCAAGCCAAGAAGGTTTACCATACCTGTTCCTCGGGGGCTGCGGCAGGCGGGGCCCACCGGCCACCACCAGTTTGCAGGAAGCAGGGGAGTGAGCCCAAGAACAACCCCGCGGTGCTGGGAGGAAACAGGGGTGGACTCCTCTGCCCAATCAGCTCTCTTTAGAAAACCAGCTCTATGCCTCCCACATGATCAAGAAGATCTATGAAAGAACCTGGGCACACCCCAGGCTCCTAGAAGAGTTGGACTCAACCCTCCTCCCCATTCCTGGTCCACCTCTGCACCCCAGCCTGGCACTTGCTTGACATACACAGGTGCTTGATAAACGGAGAACCTTGAACTCTGGGACCTGGCAGAGGGTCTAACCTAATGACACTCTGGTGCAAACATCAGCTGAGCAATCCCTATTTCTCCCGCCAGGCGGCAGCTGAGCCATTGGGTGTCACAAGGTGGACTGCACAGCCAGCCTGCAGCCCTAGTCCCCAGGCCCCCTCTCAGCAGTTTACCACCTGACTTCTGACTCAGTTCTCAAGAGAACCCTCCTTATCCTGGCTTCTACCCTCAAGAAGCAGTCGTGGCTCCCACCTGCTCCCAGGCCAAGAGCCCGGCTGGCTTCCCCCATCTCACCCACAACATCCAAAATAGGGAACTCAACCCCTCACGATCTGTGGTCAGGGATTACTCCTTTCTCCCTCCCTCCCGCACCTGGGTCAGCTGGACAACGCCCTGCAGAAACTTCTCAGGCTCCAGCAGCAGCAGCCGGTCCTGCTCATCCGCAGCCCACACCTCAGGAGGCACCTGCGGGAACATACAGGGCACTGTTGCCCACCCTTGGCCTCGTGCACCCTGGGCCATGGCCTGGGCACCCCAGGAGTCCTGAGGCTTGCGCAGGTTCTTCCCGGACTGTTCTACAGAAACCCAGCGTCCCACCTTCCACTGAGACTAAAAGCAGCGCAGGTCTGCCAGGCAGCAACACCTGTGGCCACAGCCTGGATGGGATGGAGCATCAATCAGCAGCAGCTGCGTTCAGGCTCTGGATCCCAGCCCGCAACTTACCAAGAGTGGCCTGTGCATCACTCACTCAGCGTTCCCTGTTCTCAGTTTACTGGTATGTAAAACGTGCACAATTGCTGCAGCTGCCTCTCAAAAGAGCTTTGTCACATAAAACACCCAACCCAGGGCTGCATTCCGTAAACCCAGGACACTCACACTGAGGGAGCAAGGGTCTGGCTTCACTCTGCTCCACCTGAGGCTCCATGCAGGGCGCTCGGGCTCCACGCGGTACTCACAGCTCAGGGCGTCCAGAGCCTCCATCAGGATGTCGGCACCGGCATCTTCCAGAATGGCTGGATGGGGCAGAGGGACAGTCAGCTGTCACTCCTTTCCCCCACGACAGGACACTACTTGGGTGGGGACAGCAGCCCCACAGCCTGCACAGCGTGTTACCAACATACTGATTCCCGTCCGGCTCCCAGAGCGCAGATAAACAAGCTCCCCGAGGCCGAGCTCCCCACCCCGGGCCGCTGCCCGCGCCCGCCCGCACCTGGGTCCACGAGCACCGCCAGGCGCTGCACGGCTTGCTCGGGCCGCAGCACCTCGGCCGCCGCCCTGCGCTCCTCCGCCGGGTCCCGGACCCTGGCGGCGGCCTCCTCGCCCGCGGGGCCCTGGATGTCCGAGTCCGAGATCTCCCAGGTCGGGGGCTGCAGCTATCCCCGGCACCGGCGCGAGCCACCAGCCCTCCCAGACCCAGCCCTCGCCATGGCCCGCCCGGCCTCTTCTCCCCTTCCGGCAGCGCCCGGACGCCTTTGCTGGGGACACCCGCCGCTTCCGGCGTCGGGCGCGCCCCGCGGCGCGCGGTGGCATCTTCCGGCCAGAGCGCGGAGGCTGCCCGGCCATGGCGCGGAAGAAGGTAAGGCCGCGGCTGATCGCCGAGCTGGCCCGCCGCGTGCGGGCCCTGCGCGAGCAGCGGGAGCGGCCGCGCGATTCGGAGCGCTACGCCCTGGACTACGAGACGCTGACGCGGCCGCACTCGGGCCGCAAGCTGCCCGCGCGAGCCTGGGCCGACGTGCGCCGCGAGAGCCGCCTCCTGCAGTTGCTTGGCCGCCTCCCGCTCTTCGGCCTGGGCCGCCTTGTCACGCGCAAGTCCTGGCTGTGGCAGCACGACGAGCCGTGCTACTGGCGCCTCACGCGGGTCCGGCCCGACTACACGGCGCAGGTGTGTGCACGGTGCCCACCCTCAGCTCCCGGCACCGCGGGGCACCACTGTCTCCCCTGCGCGCGACTTTGTGGGACGGGATATCCTGTCGCCCGATCCCTGGGCAAGCGAGCTTTCTGAGCTGATCTCCTTCCAACTTGCTTTGCAGAACTTGGACCACGGGAAGGCCTGGGGCGTCCTGACCTTCAAAGGTAAGGCGTCCAAACCGGTGGGGAGGCTGCCGGCAACAGATTGTTCCGCCAACGTGTGTGCAAGAAGCCTCGTTCTTCTTTCCCCAGGAAAGACGGAGAGTGAGGCTCGGGAGATAGAACAGGTCATGTACCACGACTGGCGGCTGGTGCCCAAGCACGAGGAGGAGGCCTTCACCGCTTTCACGCCGGCGCCGGAGGACACTCTGCGCACTGTGCCCTACCCGCCGCTCCTCCGCGCAATGATTCTAGCAGAGCGACAGAGAAATGGAGACACCAGCACGGAGGAGCCCATGCTCAATCTGAAGAGGATACGCATTGATCCCTGGGACTATCCTGAGAACCAGGAGTCGAAGAGAAAGACCAAGGGCACTGCAGTCTAAAATGCCAGAGCGGGCAGGCTGCCGCAAGGGTGCAAGGCAGTGGCCACCATTTTCGGTTACACCTGAATCAGCCCCCTGGGAGCTTGGATCCTACCTCCCCGTGACTTGTTGAGGTTCTACATTTTCTTGGAAAAGGGTGGGGTCAGACCTTGCACCTTGTGTCTTTCCTCTGTCCCCGCTGCCCCAACACTCAGATCTGACTGAGGGGGCCTCTTAGGAGGTGGCTGCTGGGGGAAAGCCGGGAGCAGCAGGGCCCGCAGGTTTGGAGCCCCGCTGCTGGCTCCTGTCACTTCCACGCTGGCTTCCCTCCCTATGACCTGTTGCATCTGCCGGGACCCAGGTAGAAACTGAACGCGAATAAAGGCACATGAAGCAGCCCTGGGTTGTGGCTTCTTTGAGTTTGGGGTACCAAAGCGGGCTGTTGGCAGGTCTGTGGGGGAGGAGCAGGCTGACACTGCTGCTTACGGCCGGGTGGTGAGAGGAGTTCCGCGCAGGCGCCCGGTGGTGGGGAGACCCGAGGGGATTCGGGAGTCACAGGCGCGGCCGCAGAGATCCCGGCGTCGGCGTGAACGACAGTCACCCCCTCTCCGCGTCCACCGAGGTGGCGGCGCCCGGCGACCAGGCGGCTTTAAGCACAGGCCCCGCCCCGGCCCGCGCGTCTCCCCCGCCCCGGCCCTCGAGCCGCCCGAGCCCTGTTGCCGCCATCATGATCTGCCTGGTGCTGACCATCTTCGCCAACCTCTTCCCGGCGGGTGAGCGGCGCGGGCCGGGCGGGGCGGGTAGGGGGTGCGGCCGGGTCTGATGCGCCCCGACTCCGGCGGTTCCCACAGCGTACACCGGCGTGCACGAGCGCACCTTCCTGGCCGTGAAGCCCGACGGCGTGCAGCGGCGGCTCGTGGGCGAGATCGTTCGGCGCTTCGAGAGGAAGGGCTACAAGCTGGTGGCGCTGAAGCTGGTGCTGGTGAGGGCCGGGGTCCCCAGGCGTGGGGAGCGGGACGGGGGTGTTGGGGAGGGGTCCCCGGGCGTGGGGAGCGCGGCGGGGTGGGGTGCAGGGGGAGACGGGGTCCCCGCGCGTGGGGGATGGGGGTCCCAGGAGCACGCGTCCCTTCCCCCCTCCCTCCCCAGGCGTCGGAGGAGCTGCTGCGCCAGCACTACGCCGAGCTGCGTGAGCGCCCTTTCTACGGGCGCCTGGTCAAGTACATGGGCTCCGGGCCGGTGGTGGCCATGGTGAGTGCTGGCTGGCGGGAGGGCGGCGCGCTGGCCCCGTGCTGACCCCGTACCCCGTCTGCAGGTGTGGCAGGGTCTGGACGTTGTGCGCGCTTCGCGGGCGCTCATCGGGGCCACGAACCCGGCCGACGCCACGCCCGGCACCATCCGTGGCGATTTCTGCATCGAGGTCGGCAAGTAAGGCCGGTTCCAACTTCCCGAACCGGGCTGCGCGGGGCTCTCTGCCCGAGCTGTCTGCTCCAGGCCTGCGCTCACCCGCGCCTCTCCTGCACAGGAACGTGATTCACGGCAGCGACTCGGTAGAGAGCGCCCGCCGCGAGATAGAGCTCTGGTTCCGCGCAGACGAGCTCCTGTGCTGGGAGGACAGCGCCGGGCACTGGCTGTACGAGTAGCCGGTCGGGCAGATGTGCCCGTCTGCAGTGGGCTGTGGGTGATTCCACATCCTCCAGGCCCCGGAGGTGTGCACACGTGTGGGCCCAATCCCTAGGAGCTCAGAATACCCTTCCTGTGGCAGGGGGCACAGGAGGGCAGGTGGTGCACGCGTGCGGAGCTCTGGTTGCGACAGGCCTTCCTGTCGGGGCTGAGGTTCTCAGGAGGCCCAGCACGTCTGGAATGCAGCAGGGTGCCACCCTAGTACTTGGCTTGTCCCAGCACTTTTTTTTTATAATAAATTGAGGAAAACTTTTGTGCTCGAGTTGGTTTGGGCTCAGGGACACAGAAGCATGATGTTAAGACGTTTATTACTTACAGAGCAGATATGTAGGTTCACTTGCAGGGCCAAAGCCTGAGGAGAATCGTGTCACCCAGTTGCACCCACCCAGCTAACCCCCGAGTCACTTCAGGCCCTGTGAGGACAGACAAGGGACTTGACGTACATCACAGTGGAGAGTGGCAGGGTGGTGGGGAGAAGCCTTGCAGCTGCTGGTGGCTGCAGCGGTGGCCAGCTGGGCTCGTGGGATGGCTGCCCAAGATCTGTGCTTCTCTGGTGGGAGGTGGGTGGGCAGCAGTGCCTGGGGCTGCCCTGATCGGTGCCTCGAGGAACAGGAATAAGGCCTGGCCAGGTGGGGGAGTTGGCAGTCCAGGGCGGTGCCCCTCAAAGCGGGCACGCGCCATCGCCGAGAGCCGGCTGGAGGCGGCTCCTGTCCTTAATTCTTGGGCCTCTGCTCGGTGGCCTATCATCAGATGCCCTCAAGGGAGCAGGCCACACCGCTTATCCCTAGGCACTTAGTAGCGTGTCTTGGGAGCTGGGCTCCTTGGAGACTGCACAGGAGGCAGGCCCTGGAGCACACCTTTCCCCATCACCCTGAGGCTGAGCCTACATCCAAGGACTGACCCTGGGAGAGACCAGGGGCCTCCCCTTCTTCCTGAGGCTTGGGCCTGCCCTGGCAGCCTGAGAAATTCCACCCTAGGGGCTTCCGGGAGGGGTGGGACTCAAGGGGCCTGCTCCTACAAGGTGGGTGTTCACCCAGGGAGAGTTAGCAAGGTCAAGGGGAACACAGGTCAGTGAGGGCCGGTGAAAGCCCGCCACACAGGACGATCATGGGGCTTGAGCGGGATGAGGTTGTGTGTCTGTCTTCTCAGGCAGCTGCCCCAGGGAGCCTGGTTACATGCTTTCATGCCAGTTCCCAGGGCAGTAGGGATGGGGGAGGGGGAGCCCAGGGAAGGCTAGCAACTGGGCCAACTCCCTGAGTGTTGGATCCCCACTCCCATGGGCAGCAGCCAAAGGCAAGTGGACTCAGGGTGGGAAGACTCAGCGGGGTGAAGTCCCTGCTCGACTCCCTGGAGAGATCCTGGGAATGAGTGACTGGAGTGGGGAGCCCAGGGTGGAGCTCGGAGCCACCTGTAGGGGCTTCCCTGGCCCGACCCACCCTGGGGTTCTGCCTCGCTCTGGTCCTGAAGTGCCCTCGGGCCTGGAGGGCTTTGGGCTGGGTGCCAGCCAGGAGCTGCTGGGGAGAGGGTGTCCCAAGAGGCTCTGCCCCTCCCTGGTCAGGACGCCACCCCACTACCCGCTCCCAGCCAGACCCTATGCTCTCTGCCAGCTCATGGGGAGGCCCGGACCGAAGGTGAAAGCTGCAGGTTGAGAGGCTAGAAGTGGGGTGGACGGGCACCTGGCTGCCTGCGGGCAGGCTGCCCCCTGGGTGGGTGGTGGGCAGGTGGGCGGGGCTGTATGTACACGTGGCAGGTGGCATCAGGCGGGGTGGGGTGGTGGCAGGCCGCAGCCTCACTCGGGGGTGTAGGACACCTGCCACACGATGATATGGCTGCGCTCGGCCTTGGACAGCAGGGGCTTCACCTGGCTCACATCCCCTGCACCCTCCTCGGGCTCATCGTCTTCTCCGTCACCTGGAGAGAGCACAGCTGCCATGAAGGGGCCACCCCTGTCCGGGGACACCTGGGGTCCCAGCGGCACCCACTTACCGATGCGGAAGTCAATGTAGCCCTCCCCGCCGCTAAGCACCAGCACGTTCTTCAGCTTCTGGGCCTCGGTGTCAGCGGTGGGGGCAGTGGGTCCGGGGCTCTCGGAGGGGCTGTCGAGCACGCTGCCGTTCAGAGTGGCCAACACGTTCCCTGTCATCGGGGCACAGGGACCTCAGCGGGGCAGCCAGAGCCCCCCCCCCCAACAGGCTCCTGAAGGGATGCCTTGGCTGCAGCCCTGTGGGGAGTGGGGCCCGGCCCCTCACCTGGCACGGAGACAAAGAATTTGACAGCGTCACGGTGCCCGTGGAAGCAGAGCTGAGCCTGGGCCATGGAGCAGTAAGGGATGAAGCTACTGGCTGATTTGTCACTGCTGTCGTCTCCGTACACGTGGATGATGCCTCCTGGGCGGGCCCCCTCCCCAGATGTGGGGGACGACTTGTTGGCTGGAGAGAGAGGGTCCCGGAGGGGCTGAACCTGCTGACTGGGAGGACCAGTTTTCCAGCAGCCAAGGGCAGAGGGTGGGGCCTGCCTGGTGCCAGAGCCAGTCAGAGGGGCAAGGGCAGCCTCAGCCCCCAGGGTGTCCACAGTGGGGGGCTTCCTTCTGAGAGCAGGAGGCAGGTGCTCTGGACTTACCTCGGAGCCCCAGGAGCTGGCCTCGGTGCAGGACCACAGCTGGGGGAGGTGAGGGGCAGAGCATGGAAGAGAGAGAAGAGAAGTCACAGGAGGGACTGGCTGAGGAGGGCTGCGGATAGGGCAGCCCACGTCCTCCTCTGTCCTGGCAGAGTGCACCTGCCCCTGGGACCCTGACATGCGCCTGTGAGTGGCAGCCAGGCCATCTCTACAGATGTCTGTGGGTCACTCACTCTCAGTCAGCGGGATGGAGATGACAACTCCGTTGCCGGTGCCCACCCAGAGGCGGTTGCCTGCGATGAGCAGGGCTGTGATGCGCACGAAGGAGAAGCCCAGCTTGCCTGTCCCTGGGGGTGGGGGGAGGCGGGTCAGCAGGGCAGGCTCGGGGGACCCTCCTGCCCCCACATGCCCGGCTGGGGTGGCCCCTCACCCAGCATCTTGCTGACGTAGGGCTCAATATCCACGTCCTGCAGGTGCTGGTGAGTGTGGGCGTGGTAGAGCCGCAGCGTGGAGTCCAGGCGGATGGACACCCACACCCCGTCGCCAATCCACGCCAGTTGCCGTACCTGGCTCTCCCGCCGTGGGTGGGCGTCGAACGACTTCTGTGGGGTCAGGGCAGCCCGTCAACGGGGTGGGGGGCCCTGAAGCTGCCATGGCCAAGAGTCCCTGAAGCAGCTCATGGGCACCTTTCTAGGGCCTCTTTGCTCCCTTGGGTCCTGGCTCCTAGGAGGAGCCCCAGCACCCCAGCCCCACCCCACAGCAGTGCCTGAGGGAGGTGCGGGGGGGCCCATTCAGACACCGATCTGCTTGTTTCAGAGAGAAGCAGCAGGTGGGCTCCAGAAAGACAGGCATTCACAGCCCAGCTGCCCTTTGTTGGCCCATGACCTTGGATGAATCAGTCGCTTCCCTAAGTGCATTTCCTTTGACCCTATGAAGCCCCCACCAGAGTCCATTAGAACGTGTGTGGAAGCCCCAGCCTGCACTTGCCTCAATCTGCATCGTCTTGGGCTGGATGACATGCACCTTGTTCTTGTAGCCGCACCAGACGCGGTCATACACGACGGCCATGCAGCGGATGGAGTGGTGTGGGTGGCCCAGGTCCATCAGGTGATAGTTGCTCAGGTCCCACTGGCTGTCTGTAGAGAGCCCGCGACCCCTGCTCAGGCCTGGCCAGGCCACCTCTGCTCACGGTGCGGGTGGTTCACGCCCTGCCTGGATGTCAGATGCTGCTCCCCCACCCACCGTGCCAGGCCTTACCTTCACCTCGGTGGAAGATGGCCAGGGTCCCATCGGCCAGAGCCACCAGCACTCGCCCTTTTACGTGCCTGCAATGGGAAGGTGGTGAGCCAGGCTCAGGCCTGCTGCCCTCGGCCCTCCTGACCCCGGCCCCCAGCGGGGGTTACGCACACTAGGCTCAGCACGGAGTCCTTCAGCTTGATGGAGTGCAGACACTTCTTCCAGTTGGCCACAGCCGAGTGCACGTAGAGCCTGTGGGAGGAGGCACGGTGGGTGGGGGCTCGCCCAGGGGACCCTCTCCACCCCGGGCCCCAAGGCCCAGCCTACCAGCCGTTCTGGGCTCCCAGCCACATGGTGGGTGCAGCACTGCTGCTGGACCCCACGGCGTCCCCACTGGGCTCCGGCTCAGGCTGCACACCGCTCACATCTGTCTCCAGCCCGTTCTCACTGCAGGGAGGATGGCAGCTCCAGGGCAGCCCATGGAAGCCTGTCCCTGCCCACCTCTACCAGTCCCCGCACCCCCCCTCCCCTGCTGCCCCATCCTGAGAGAGCCCACCTGTCAGGCTGGGTGCTGGGGGGTGGGGCAGGGGCCGGGTCGGTGAAGACGTGCTCTGTGAGGGGCCCAGGCCGCACCGCAGCTGCCTCTGCCTCACTGGGCCCAGAGTCTGGCACCTCCGTGGCCTCCGTGGCCTCCTCCGTGGACTGAGATGGGTTGACCTTCCCATTGGCGACAGCAGCCACCTCCCCTGTGGAAGGGAGGGGTGAGCTTGGCTGGGTGAGAGAAGACGGCCGCCCGGGCTCAGGCCCAGGACTCACCCTGGCCTTTGTCCAGCACTGGGGTGTCCCCACGGGAGGAGCAGTTGCTGCGCGGCACGTTGCAGCGGGTGGCACAGCCCACCAGGGTGATGCCGGCCAGCACGCCATCTGCACTAGAGTCCTCAGGGTTCACGTCGCTGTCCAGGAAGATCTCCCCCGGAGGGTAGTCACCATCGCTGGCCGCTGGAGGGAGAGTCACAGCCCCGTCACCCCGTGCTGAGAAGCCCCCATGACAGGACCCTACCCAGAGCTCCAGTCCCGGTGAGGGTGCAGGGGGAAGGGAGGGGCTGTT